TTATATTTTTGAAAACCTCTCTGATTCCCCACTGTGATGGGAACACCAACTCACCAGAAAGAGCACTGCTCCACTGCTATGAGTAAAGTGGGCTGATATCTATGGCATAGCGGGGCCCTTCCAGGATTGAACAGCTCACTCTCCAGTGTTAATAGTGAAAGCCATGAAGCTTGAGCAGAAAGCCATGAAGCTTGAGCAGGCGTCTCCCCTCACTTGATAGAAAGCAAACCAAAATCCCAAAAGGAAGAGGCACTAGACTCCAAGGACATTATATTTCTATTTCTAATATGAAAAGGTCCAGACTTAGTAGAATTCTTTAGATGGAATTGAAGATGTATAAAGATATGTATCAGAATCCATTGTGTGTTTTTCTTTGTTTGTTTGTTTGTTTGTTTGGTGGTGGTGCTGGGGATTGAACCCAGGGCCTGGTGTAGGTGAGGTAAGCTCTCTATCAGCTGAGCTATTTCCCCACCCCCAGTGTATTTATTTATTTATTTATTGGCAATCACACAAGAGTCTTTATTGCAAGCTCGAGCCTGGACTCAAAACTGTTCCTAATGCAGCAGTCCTAGGGAGTGAGTCCCAGTCCTTTGTTCAGTGAGAGTTTACAGGTTTTTGGGGATGCTCTATATGTCACAACATCACACAGCAAATCATTTCACACCATGGGAAAATCATACAACAATTCTTAACGTTGACTAGCACATTCACTGGCATCCAGTGTATTTTTTTAAAGTAATGCAAATATTGTTTTAATGGGAGAAAAGTTCAGATGTTATAAACACAATGTTTTATTCTCTGTAAAGTGTGTGTTAAAGATTCCTCCCAGTTTTTGAAGAGATATCTGAAGTAGGTAGATTCTCTTTGCTAATGTTAAAATATACTGCCAGAATAGTAAAAATCAGATAAAAGCACCAAATTCTACTGAGATAAAACTTATTTTTTATCTATTGGGCTTCACATTGCAGCTTTGTATTCTTTAAAAATAAAAAATATTTTCATTTATTCTTATGTTAGATTTTTATGCTGTAATCATTATTAGAGTACCAAGATTGTGTTTCTCAAAGCGGGGTACAGACATATGCTCCTAGTTTATATTGTCAAGCTAAATGCAAACTTATAATAACCTACTGGTTCCTGTGCTCAGGTGTGACTCAATAAAATGACACAGCTTTATGAAGCATCATTTTCAGGTGAAAATTTTGGTAATATTTTAAACTTAAAACTATTAAGAGTTTATACTGGAATGATTTTGAAATCCATATAACTATTATGATAAAAAAGAGTTTTTGAAAATTGTGCTCGTGGTCCCCAGACCTCTCAAGGTATGATGTCATTCTGCCTTGTGAGGATTCTTATTGTCACCAGACCACTCAAGGTATGATGTCATTCTGCCTTGTGAGGATTCTTATTGTCACCAGACCACTCAAGGTATGATGTCATTCTGCCTTGTGAGATTCTTTGGAGAAAAGTTTTAGGACCACATTATGGGAGTATTTTACTTACTTCCTTATTTTCCATACTTAGAAAAAGGAAAAGGATGAAATGACTAAGCCTAAACAAAATGACCCACCTTGTTTGCAAAACAGTTTTCAATTTCGAGTTTCTGAGTGTCTGCAATAATTTCTCCATCAGGTAAAATAGTGTAAAGAAGAATCTGAGCAGTAGGAGCAATGTCTGGTTCCACTTGAAAGGAGAAGGAAAATGCCCCCATCACTGGAGAATAAAGAAAGTTCAAGATTAGAGATTAGGAACAATTTTCTCAATCTTATGAAACAGAGGTTCTCAGATTATTTAATTTATTCACATTTGGGACATACTAAAGTAAGAAAATAATTGTATAAACACTAGTGTGCATATAGTAGTTATTTAATAAATATATGCTGAAATAATGACTTTTTAAAGATATAGGTTTAATTGTTTATTTTCTCTGCTTAAGTAAGAAAAAAACATTTAGTCATGTATCTATTTCTAATATGAAAAAATTTAAGAAATTTGGGAGAGGATGAAGGAGAGAATTTCAATCAGTTCTAGTTATCCCTAAGATCCAAATCAGCACATCTTGTCCTGTGTGTAAGAACAATACAAATAATCCAATACAGTCTTTCCTTCAGGCCATTTACAACACAACAGAGATACAGGTACAAATAATCACATATAAGACATTGAGAGACTCTTATTTCTATAAAAGAATTTCACCTTTATATCTTAGTAATTGCTTCCTGTGCAAATCACCTAAAGCGTATGTAACATTTCCACCTTGTTTTTCTCAAGAATGTTCTAATTTAGGTCTTTGTAGCTTAAAATCCTTTTTAAAAAACTATCATCTGGGCTGGCGTTGTGGCTCAGAGGTAAAACACTTGTCTAGCTTGTGCGAGGACCTGGGCTTGATCCTCAGCACCACATAAAAATAAATACACAAAATAAAGGTATTGTGTCCAACTACAGCTAAAAAATAAATATTAAAAAAACTATCTCCTTCCTATGTCCTTAAAAGATTTGATGGGCATAGAGTTTTCTTTTGGGGTGATGAAAATGTATTGAAAATAGGTAGAGTTGGTGGTTGCTCAAAAATGTGAATGTGCTAAATGTCACTAAGTTAATTGCACACTTGAAAATGACTAACTTTAAGTGAATTTCACCTCAATAAAAAATTTGAGAAGAAGATCAATTTGAGTACAATTGATAGTAAGTCTCCCTTTATGAACAAGTTACATGTCTTCACTTATATAGAAATTTCTTTTAATAAGTTTTGAGATTATCTACAAAAATGTGAAGTTAGCTTGTGATTGAAGCAAAACCAATAGGGTCAAAATAAATTTTGATAAAAAATTAATACTAAAAACATATGCAGGCATATTTCTGAAACAGTTAAATATAAGTAAGTGTGTAATAAATATAAGCAGATATTCATTTTATTAGGAAAATGTTAACAAAATAGTTATTTTTCCTAAGTACTTAAACTTTTCATTAGGTTTCATGGAAGTCAAAGACAAAATGGAAAAGCACCCACGACTATATTATCATTGAACAAAATGCAGCATATTTTTGTTAAAGTTATATTTCTTTTTCCTATTTACCTCTGTAGGTACTCAATAAATAAATTGTTTTAACTCTACTACAGAAACAAAATTTGAAACTATTGCTTTATGAGATAGTTTGTTTTTTATGTTATGTTTCCTCTAATGTGAAAATAGCTCTAACCTGCTAAATTGTTCAGGACTTGGCCAATTGAGAGGGAACCAAAACATGTAATTAGAAAATGCTTACCATTTCCTTTTTCAATGGACAATACATGGATTCCTGATTTGGAGATGCTTCCTCTTGCTTTTATCTGAAGATAGAAAGAAATTTATTTATTATTGTTTAAAAGTGTATATATTAATCTTACTTCAAAATGTTTATAATATATATAAAAAACAATAGTCATACAACTCCAATCAGAAGTTTTGTTTTATTACTATCTTTACCTTCCAATATTCTCCTAACTGTGCTTTTATCTACTTTGTTTAACAAATTTTAGTATGCTTTACATTTTCATTTAATATTTATCATTTCTATTAGATATTTCATTTCAAGTTTATGTTATTTTAATAAATATTTTAAGTACCTACTATATGCAGAGCAATGCATAATGAAGATGGATGTAAAATATACATGTTTTCTCTATTGTTGCCCCTTTCTCTAAAAAACAAATATATTCAGCATTCTCTTTGTATTAGACATGAAACTAAATGATTTAATTTCAATAATAATTATATGAAGTGGTTATTATCTCCAGTACTCAGGTGAAATGACATATTTGTCTTTACAGATGAAATTAAGTAATTTATACAAGATCAAACTGAAATTGTAACTTGTTAATTTTATACTTTTTTATAGAATTAAGGAAATGATTTATACAATTTGGTATAAATCTGGTGTTTCAGTGGTGACCAGAAAATAAACGAGAAATTAAGGCATTAACTCCTTAGGAATTAATTTATTTTCTAGCATAAAAACAATACCCCCTTTATTAATATTGACATAAAAACTGTTACTTTGACAGGAATCCAGCAATTTTAGAGTTAATGCATTGAGAAAGAGATACAGTGACTCTTATTCTTACCAAATAATAGAAGGTTAACTCTTTTTCATCCTTCAGGGTCTGTTCATTCAAGATGTATTGTGCCTGAATCTCTTGGGTTTGCCCACAGGTCAAAGTACCAGCAACAAGATCAAGCTGAACATAACTCCTGCTTGGGGAATACAAGAGGCTTGCAGAGTGCTGTGTTCTTTCATGAACTTCATTGAGCCACCAGTCATCAAAGCAGTTAGTATTCTGTTTGTAAGTAACCTAATGTGAAAATAAAAAGTCTATTTGTAGTTAATATCTCTCTCTCTCTCTCTCTCTCTCTCTCTCTCTCTATCTAAATATGTCAAGAGGCTGCTTTCCTAAATACAGTGTACAGTATAACACATAGCCACCTTCCTCCTGAGGTGATTTGGGTGTTTGCTGAACTCATTTAGTGGATATTATTCACTCGCAGTCAAGTTTAATTACTTTTTCTTAAGACATTATGGCTGTAAATTGTGTCAGATAATTTAAATATTCAGTAAAAGTCAAACACAGTATTATGCCAAAAAACTAACAAAGAAACATCTAATGGACATTAGAACTACAGAGCATTAAAAATTTCAAGGAAACATCCAGATGATCTATCCAATGGCACCTGCCACTAGACCATGTTGTGAAGAGTCCGTGTAAGAGTGAAAGTTTTCTGGCAGAGAATTTTTTTGTATAATTTAGGGCTCCACATTGCTTAATTTATGTTATTCTTTATCACCTTTTCTTTTATTTCTAGAGTTCACATGCTTGTCATACATCCTTGAACTATGTAGCCCTACTGATCTGTCTTTCTGTCCCAGATGCCCATTTTCACTCACGGTGACGACAATGGAAGCCGTTGTGAAGTTCTTGGTGTTGAAGGAAATGCTGGCCAAACCATGCTCATCTGTAGTTAAACTGGAAACTAAGCCGTGCACACTGGCAGTTATGTTTTGATTGGGGATTGGCTGATTCTTGTCATCAACTAGAAGAATCTAGAAATATGAAAGTAGTAGTTATATGTCATGAAGGAGTGACATCTTCTACTCTTTGACCTGTGCAGGTGTTCACTTGTTGGTCACTTCCTACCTTTTACCAAAGATCTTAGAGTCTGAAATCAAGATGTGTTTCCTGAGCTCTAAACTCTGATATTTATTTTTAATATTTCTTTATTCTTGTGATTTTTGAAAATCTTAATGTAGCTTATTTTATTATCATCTTAATTGAAAAGCAATATTTGTATATATTTCTGAGATAGAATGTAATATAGATCACCTTATTTTCTTATTATATTTCATAGTGAGACATTTAAAATTTACTATTTTTTATAAATGCAATACTATTGGTTATAGAACACCAGCTGTGAAATCGATCTTAAAATCTTGTTAATATTTATTTCTATTAGGATATTTCTATTTGAGACTATTTGAAAGTGGAACCATGAAGTTACCTTCCCCAATTTTTTTCCAGCTTCAGTGTTTTTCTGTCTGGTTTCCAATAGCTTTCTATGTAGTCTGCACTCTGCCCTCTTGCTGCTTCCCCTTTGCTCCAAATCATTCTCTATACAGCATGAACTTACCTGATCATGGTGAGTACCTAAAAACCTTCAGTCACTTCTCGATCTGAAATTCTTGCCATATCCTTAAAGGCTCTCAAAGATTTGATGTGGCTTCCCTACAACTATTTGGTGAATTCAGTCACACCTTTTATTTGAGCAGCAGTCACACTGTCTACCTTGCAGTTCTTTGTTCCTGAAACTATTTCACACCTTGGGCCTAGGCCAGTCTCCTATTTCTGGCCAGGTCATTCTCATCCTTCAAGTTTTCTCATCATCTTCTCTCTATCTGAAATGGCCTGGCCAGACTATATCTATATAGTTCCTAATTTCTTTCCCATTTGATGGATGAAATACTGGAATGAAAGAGGAAAATGTCAAATCACAAATTCAGATATAAAATTCAAAATATAAAATGAGGAAATTGGCTATAAGCTGTCAATTGAAAGATAAGTTAGTACAAAAGCAACTTTTAAAATACTCAGGAAACTTACATATCTTATATAAAAGAAAATTAATAGTATATTGAATTGGGATATCCATCTTAAAATTTACCATTGTTGACCTTATTGATATTGAACTTTGAAACTCAAAAAAAAAAACTTTTAAAAAATATTAGCAATAAAAAATTATCTAGATGAAATATTATTGCTATAGTTTGGGTGTTAAATATCATTCAAATGCCTATAGTTACAGGTCTTGTCTCCTGGGTGTTACTATTGGGAAGTTGTGGAACCTTTGTTGATGGGGGTGGCTAGTGAGGTACTTAGAAAATTGGAGGTATATCCCTGAAGGAGACTGTGGCACTCCAGCATATTTTTCTTTTTCTCTCCTTCCCCTGCTTCTCTCCCCATCTTTCCCTCTGGCCATGAGAGGAGCAGTTTCTCTCTGCTATATGTTCCCATCATGTACTGCCTCACCACAAGCTCTGAAGCAATGGGGCCAATCAATCATGCACTGAGACTTCTAAAACTGTGAGTCAAAATAAACATTTTCTCTTTGTAAGCTAATTATGTCAAGTATTTTGTCATAGTAAAAAGTGATTGACACAATTACCTTTTTATTCTTCCTATGGAAAATTATATTTTAAAAAAATTATTACTTACAAAAAGCCAATCAAAGAGAATTACACAAAAAATGCATTAGAGTTATGTTGGAAATTTAATTAATAAAATCATGCTTTGTTTTCCTGCATTTTGTGCTATTTGCTTTTCAAATTTATTTGCCATAATTTTTATTCTTAATTTTATTTTTCTTATAAATATTGATTTTTTATTTTAAAATTTGTTTTATTAAAAGCCTCATGTCTGAAATTAATATATATTGAAAAGATAATTTTACCTGTCCCTGAAAAGGAAGTCCAGGTCGGTAATGTGAATTCACTTTAGTAAACTTCAGTTTGCTCAAGGTATTTGTGATTGCACTTGAGCCATAACCAGTTAATTCTAATCCTAAAAAAGAAAAAAAAGTGAAGTTGAACAGTTCTATGTATTCCAAATTCACCTTCTAGTTCCACTGTATCTTCACTTCATCATAACAAAACACCATCCATATTCTCTTATTTATTCCAGAATTTCTCACACATACACTATAGAAGCTATATGAGAAGCAATTTGATGTTAGCTTCATTTTCATATAAAACAGTTACCATCCACAATCCCCAATTCTGGTTTTGAAAGTAGCCTACTTGTTCCACCTGTTTTTAAGTTCTCATCTTCTCTGTGATCTCGCTCCAACTTTGTTTCTGTCTCTCTCAAATCCTTGCTTTTCCTTTCAACTTTGTACTTACAATTAGATCATTCACATTCACATTGGCCTTAACATATGCTTATATTTCTATCACAAATATTTTCCCAGAAAGACTTTCCTTTTTATTGCATGGCTTGTCCAAAGTATACCCAATACCTGGTACTCTTCCATTCAGTGTGCCTTTTTTTTTTATCATCTAAGTCATCATGTTATCAAAGTCTAAGTGGTCCATGACTTGACCCCATATAGATTCCTCATCTCAGATTCATCATAGGTGAACTGTTGGTAGTACTTCATATAGCAGTACCCTTGTGATATGTCATCTTTCCCAAGGCTTTTAAGAAATTCTATAGTTTTATTCTTTTTTACCCCTAGGTCTTATGATTTTATTTTATACTATTGTATAATCTACTAATGCAGTTGTTTTTCTTCTTGGGATCCTCTTTGTCCTGTATGTATCCTAAAATTAGCAATGCTAAATGAGCTCACTTTCAGAAATTACTGCACTCACTTTCAGGATATGGATACAGAAGGTGTGGCTTCAGATTTATATTTCTTACCCCTGTTCTGATGGCTCTCTTTATAAAGATTAAAATTATTATTGGCACAATGTATCCACTTCAACTTAATATTATAGATATAATTAATTCAATTTGACATTTTCATCACAATAGTTCTTTTACATGTATTCCTTGAAATTTTTTTTTTTAGTTGTCAAAAACTTTATTGTTTATTTATATGGTGCCAAGAATTCAATCCAGTGCCACACACATGCTAGGCAAGCACTCTACCACTGAGCCACATCCCAGCTCCTACATGTATTCTATATTGGTTAATGGCATTTCCTTTTCTCCATATTTGGAATCCATTCATGCATTGTTAGTGAAACTGCAAATCAGGTCTACCACTTTGAGAAACAGTGTGGAGATTCCTCAAAGACTAGAACTGGAACCACCATGTGATGGTTATCCCACTCCTTGCTATTTGTTTATCCAAAAGAACTAAAATCTGGGTTCATCGTTTTTGAATCAGGTTCTGGTATATTACATTGCAACACAGTTTTCATTTAGCTTATCTTCTCTGTATCTGATTGAATTATGTTTTTAAAATACCAGTTTTTAATCCATCTCTTCAAACCTATCTGATAACTAATACTTTTCAGAATGACTTCTAAACTCTTTAGTATATGATTTACTTTCCTCTCCAGCTTAGCACCAACCCACATTTTCAGATTCTTCTGAAAATGAATGGGTTCTTCTGAAAATGAACCCATTTTTTTCTACTTTTTCACGTTTCCCTGACCGTCACCAATCTTTCAAAATACTAGACATCCTATTCAAATAATTTCAAATGCTAGTTTTATCTTATTAAGCTTTCTTCTGGATTTACATCAGGATTAATTATTTCTTTTCATATTCATTTGGCCCTTAGTTTTATAATTCTTGTGGGAATTTTATGATCATACACACAAATATAAACATCTTATTTAAAAATTTTAATGCCTTGAGAGCCCATGTCTTCTTCATAATATGCTGAAACTATAAAATATTTTAAATGGAATGAAAGTTGGGTAAATGTTGATTGAATTAATAAATAATTTAAAAAGAATGCAAACCTGTTGCTTCCTCTCTGATGGTGGCTTCTACTTGTATTCTCATGTCATAGCCCCTTTGTCTCAGTTGAAACACTTTAGTTTTTACCAGTTGTGTGAAACATCCTTTATTGTCTGCCTGAAGAGAAAAGGAAAGAATTCCCGGGTCATCTAATTTGCTGTCAAAAAGTCATCAGTCTATGAACTTTTTATTGGCTGTATGAATACATTTTATAAGTGTTCAGACTACATTTTTGGGGCATAAAGTTTCTTCGTTAATCATTAAATTATTCATTGTTAACCTTTGCCTTGTCCCTTGTCTTCTGAATAATCCCATTTCTGACACAGTGAACTTCTTTGAGTTTCTGTATGCACCATGATATTTGATAATTCTAGATTTTGCCTGTTTTGCTTCCCAAATGACAACTTTCTATCTTTCATTCTTACCTTGGTCAAGGGTTGCTACTCCTCAAAACTCAACTCAGGCATAATACATTCTAAGAAGCCTCTGTAACCACCTCCACCTAAATATTGATTATGGATTATATGCTCTTAACTGCATTTTCATGATATTTTCTTGGATATTAATAGGAACACACACATTCAGGGACTAGATAAACCCTTCTAGTAATCAAGTTTCCAAAATAAATGTTGGGATTCACGTTTTCATAAAGATATGTTTTCATTTTGTACTCATTTACATAAAAACATTTATAGCACAATAAAATTCAATCATTTTAAAATTTATTCACATACAGAAGTTCTGAATCACTTTAAAATAAAATTTATACCAGTCTCCTTGATATAGTAAAGATTTTGACAGCTATAGTCCTCTCTTGGTTATCTTATTTATCTTGACAATCATCATCATACTCTTCATCCTGGCCTTTAATTTGAATTCTGCAGCTTTGATAAATAACTTTCATTTTTTTCTACCCTTGCAGCACCTACTGTCATTGTCATACCTTAGACTTTTACATACTTTTCCTGTGATTCAGTAATTTATGAATTCCATTTTGTCAATGCAACATATTCAACTTTCAGCTGTTTCTCTTAATTATTCTTAGTAAATCTCTTCTTTGATATAAGTGGGACCTCCAATCTGTTATATTCTAGGCTGTGCTCTCCTGAACTTTGTTTTTACTTAACACTCTACATAAGCAGTTTGGATCCATGACACATCATTCAATTCTCATATTAGCCAAATTCTTAGCACCTGCCAGATTCTTCTGTTATCTGTTGGACAAATGTCAAATTTGGATATTTCCTTATCCTTTCATACTTTATATTTGCATGATGATTGCTGTTGGAAGAAAATTATAAAACTGGCCAAACAAATAGAATAATAAATTCAAGAGCCCAACACTCCTAACACTGCCTGCCTTAAAAATTTTCCTTATTCCATAATTTTGCTTTTTGATTATTTTGAACATATCCTCTATTATATTGTATTTATAATCATAACCCATGAGAAAACAAGATCTGGTATTAGTGCTCTGAGGAGTTGTTTTCACATACCTGTTGGCTGAATTCTTCACAGATATTTTGTGAATGTTTGCCATGGCAAGTAGAATGGTATTGGGAATATTTTCTGCATACATTAATTGTCACCAGACCAGGGACAGGCTTTCCATATGTGTATCTATAATATTAATGAGGTCATACAAAATGTATTTAATATAAATGAAACAGATATTTGTTCACCTGATTTGACCTGTCTGTACATCCATCTTTTATGCACCTAAAGCAATGGTTGTACCTTCCATGGCATTTGCACTCCAGGAGCAATAATTCGGAGAGAATGTGTCTTAATTATTTTAGTAGGAATACATTTATGACTTTAAGAGAAATCACTGATTGAATCTTTTTGAAAGATCTCCAAATGAAAAGTTATAAGTTAGTTTTTCTCAGATCTTTTTTCTCCCTCCATTGAGGTTTTACTTTAACACTGTCCTGTCTCTCGCTTTCTCTGCTGTCTGATTATCTAGGTTATAATTCTAGCTTTGACAACACATAAGTTGATTTAGAACAAAAAATAAAATAAGGGTGTGAAAAGCATATTATTTCTAAGTTTGCCTGCTGCAGCCCGGCTCGCTGGGCAAAATAGCCCCGGGGGGGAGTGACAGGCAACTTGTGAAGGTTGATAACAGCAGTTACGGGAGCCGCTTTATTACGGGACAGCAAAGGTATATATACACTTAACAAATTATACACAGCTTGTTTCAATCAACATCATCCAGATACAGCAATCCTCATCATCTTAACAATTATACACAGCTCAACTCAATTAACATCATCTTAATGACTCGCTGGCGTTACCCTTCAAACCATTCCTCCTGGCAAAGTGCCAGGTGCCATCTTGACTTGTTTGTGGCTCTCTACACTCGCCATAATTCCTAAGTATTTTAATAGGATAAATGGGAAAGTTAGAAAGTAGCAGCTACAAATAAAAATGTTATTTATGAACAGTATCATAATGACTTGATTTACTTTTGCCATATATGATGGAAGGATATGATGCAAAGCTCAAATCAATTTATTTTTTTCTTAAAGTGTATTTTATGAACCACCACCACTGAAATTACCTATAATATAGATTGAGATGCCAGATGCTTGAATATTGCCCCAGGTTTATGGATAGAATCTCTGTAGAGGGGACCAGAGGTGTTCATTTTAATTAAACACCTCCTATAAATTCTCATGTACCCTCAGGTTTGACTTCTGTAGCTTTTTTGTAGCTGTGAAGTAGGTGAGGCTTAGCTTCAGTGCCCCATTCTTTCCCTTTCTATAGTTTTCTCCTCAAAACTCCTATAATTGCTGATAAATATAAATTGCTGGTAACATGTAGAATTTCAATTAGATCTTGAATCTTATATGTAGATCTGGATTAAAAGGCTTCCCTTCTGGTAAAAATATTTAAAGCATCAAGGCTCTTGAAAGGGAGAAAACATGTTACTCATGCTATTTTCAAAAGCAAGTTGAGGATGCTCTAGTGCATTAAGGTAATCAGGGAAGAAATAATTATAATATGCATTTTTAATTCTATTATGTGTATCTAGGAATTAAAGTACAGCATTAAGGTACACTATTATATCTAAGTTCCAGTCTTCCATCCACTGTTTACTATGATTTCGGTATCACAATAATTCAAACAAGTACTTTTGTCCTTTATGCGTTTTGTTTCCCTCATTATAAATTGAGGACAATAATTATCTCTATTACACAGAGTTAGTATAAGAATAAAAATATGCTTAAAACATTATCTGTCACATTTTAAATGTCCACTGAATGATGTTATTATTAGTAGAAGTATCATATACATATATCCCTGCTCCTTAGTATAGTCCAGCTGGGGAGAATTGTTACTCCCTGAATTAAAATCCTTCAAAGTCCAGCAACTTATTTAAAATACATTTCTTACATATAATATGGAGACAACAATGAAATAGCAAATGCAACTCACAAGCCACAGACGGA